ATACATATACAACTATAAATATTGTAAAATATACCTAAATATTTCCAAATAAACAACCATAAATGATATAAATTATACAAATTTATTATTCAAATTATTTACAAATGAACATCTACAAATAATATAAAACTGGTTCAAAATATATCATATTAAAAAAAAAATATCTACAGAAAAGTTTAAAAAAAAAAAATCTTACGTAAAATAATTAAACAATATACATATTTTTCTTAATGCTTAAACTCATAGCTTTAGTGGTCTAACTTCAATAATAACTAAAAATTACACAATGACGGTAGATGTTTTTAGTAAATTAAATAAGTACCTACGCTGATGTATCTCGAAATTGTTCACATTGTATATCATATATATTTTTAGTATTATGTTACATTTAACTTATTAGCAATAAACAAATTGTGTAATAGGAAGAGGCTAACGTCTGAGATACAGGCTCGGCCTAGTTCAGACGTTAGTATACCTAAACAAAGATTGTGCTAATTATATAGTTTAAAAATAAATGTCTTGTAACCCTTTTGTATTTACGTCAATAAAGGTATTATTATTATTATTATTATTATTTAGAATGAAATTTTTCCGAAGCCCCATAATCATATTATACAAAATGAAATACAGAAATAAAATAATATAACTTATTATTATGTAAAGAAATTATAAGAAGCGAGAGTTTTTAAACTCATCAAAAACCACAAGCAATTTTAATGTTGTAAAATATACAATAAAATTAATTGTCATCAAACAAATGAAATTTCCCCTTAAAACATGAAAAAAGATCCATTTATCTGTGACGATAGTTTGAGTAGTTTAGAATTTTATGATAAAAAAAGCCTTTTTTCTCTTTAATAATATATAAAAAATAATACTAATAACTATGAGGTTATTAGTTCGGCTAGTGGAGCCATAGTAATGCATAGAGATGGCCTACTCATATTTTGACGACACGTTTGGCTCAGTTTGTAGTGACCCTACTTGCTGAACCAGCAGTCGCGGGTTCGATTCCCGCTGGGGGCATTTATTTGTGTGATGAGCACGAACGTGTTTACTCCAGTCATAGATAGGTATTTATATTTATAATATGTATGTATGTAAAGTTATACATGTGTATTGCATCAACCATCTGGTATCCATAACACAGACCTACTTACTATGGAACTAGATGGTTTTGTGTGTTAATGTCCCAACACATTTATTTATTATGGGTCAAAGAGCATGTTAGTTATAAAGTTATCATGTATAAAATATATATTTCAATATTTTTTTTAATACATATAAAACATTTGGGAAAAACGAACATTGTTCTAATATATAATATTTTATAGGCACATGTCATGTCATGTCATTCTAAGTCCTTTCATTATGTGGTGCTTGTCATCACAATGTTTGAAATAGAAGCTTTTACGAGCTTAAATACTTTACAAACCACATAAAAAGACGCCGCAATTGCTGACAGCGACAACCACTTAGCATAATATATCGACGTGTAAAGTAAAAGCTTGTTTCTCGAATGTATGCGATGTTGCCTGTTGCATACAATAAGTTTAAGGCAATAATGACATGTCATATTGAACTCTTACTAATCGTGACAGGTGCCATTATTGAGCGATTTCAAATAAGAAGGAAATATTAAATTTTCACGTGACATTGGCGAAGTAATCTGTGCTCAACTGGCACGCTTTGAAGCTATTAACAAGATAATTGAATTGAAGTATAAAATTTTTGTGTGTATGTTTATAGGAAGCCGAATTTTTAAATTAATAATAATCACTGGAGATTCCATAGTATTTAAAATAGGATTTTTATAAATTAAAGTGATTATTACAAAATAATTATATAAAAATTAAACGAAACATACATACTAATATTATAAATGTGAAAGTAACTCTGTTACCTCACGCTTAAACCGCTGAACAGATTTCGATAAAATTTAGCAAGGACATAGATTGCATCCTGAGTAAGTTACCAGGCGAGCGAAGCCGCGGGAAAAAACTCGTTTAAAATCAATTTTCTAAGTATCACAATTAATGATATATAATGACATGTTATTTATTGCTTGCAACTATTGCCAAATATTCATATTAATTCATCTTAACAATAAATTATTATTGTGTGAAGAAACAATTATAATTGTATATCCATATAAACAATTTTAAAACTTGACCTATAAAAAATAAAAATATGAAGATACATGAAGCTAAAAAACATTATAAAAAAAACACATTTTTCACAAATCGCTGAGCCCTTAAAATGATATAGGGGTCACAGGCGTCCTCACTTAATTTGCCCTATAACCCATCTTTATAAAACATGTTTATGGGCTCTGATAAATTTATTTGCGGATACGTTTTTCTTCAAAAGGAAAATTTTGTATTGCATCATTGGAATGCTGTAAAAATTATGTATAATCTATACTAATATTATAAAGAGGTAAAGTTTGTGAGTTTGTGACGTTGTAGGGGGTAATCTCTGGATTTACTGAACCGATTTAGATGAAATTTGGTAAGAAGATAGTTTGAGACCCTGGGAAGGACATAGAATGTTTTTCATCCCAAATTATTTATATTATTTTAAAATTATAAGGGTGAAAAATAGTATTTCGGCTACGGAACCCTAAAAAGTGATATTTGTGAGAATTTATGGAAATTTATCATTTGCCTATGCTACTATATGTCTCAACAGAATTGAATGAAACTTGGAATCGAGATAGCTTACATCAAAGATTAACACATAGCCTACATTTAATCAACTTACATATCTATCAATGTCATGAGAGTATATCCGAGGACAAAAACTACTTAAATATTTTGAAAGAACATCTCTCCGGAACACGACTAACCAATACTAAGCATAGTAAAAATATTTTTTTAAACATAAATAACAGTCCACATCGAATGGCCCACCAGGCTGTTTATCAGGATTATAAATCGACGAAAAATAGATGAAGATTAATTATTGTACCAAATATTTTTTTCTTCCTTAACGACTTAAGAATCTTCTAAGAATAATATACTCCTAGTTATACTAATTAATTAAATCACTCAATATAATGATATTTAGAATCATAACAACTCTACGTCCATACTAATACAAAAGCGAAAGTAACTGTGTGTCTGTCTGTTACCTTTTGACGCTTATTCCACTTTACCGATATAGATGAAATTTGTTATGAAGATAGTTTGAGACTCTGGGAAGAACATAGGATAGTTTTTATAGGAGCCCTTTTTAACGCTAAGCACGGGTATCCCTCAATGCAGGGGTCAATTCCTTAAAGGGGTGAAAAGGGGAGAGGAGTTTGTATGAAGAATCAACCATTTCTCAAGTAAGGAATATAAAACTCGTCATACTTATGTATATATACGTATATATCGTCTAACTATTCCATACTAAGCGAAAAATCGTACGTAGGGACAAACCCGAGCGAAGCAAACGAGACAAAACTACAAAGTAACTAATAAATGTTTAAAAGTATTTATGTAAGTATAAGTATTCTATAGAAAATTTTAACTTATGTACAACATTTAAATAGAAAAGTTACTCCACGAGGCATATCTGTTTAATTTATCAAGCACTTTACATCAAAGAAAATCTCATTAAGCTTTAAAGCACCTAACACCTGGTATCTAACTTTTTCTTTCTATAGCAGAGCTTATACAACAATATATTATATATGTATGGTTGAAGCGCACTTACTGACTCATTACTGGTCTAACGTAAATGGATCTTTTGTATGCCGAAAAATGGGGTTTCAAATATTCATAATGATTTTGTGAATAACGTCGGATTTCCGCCTCTCTAATTTTCTTTGGGGTTAAGTCGTTGTTGTATAGTAGGCAGAGCAAGGGAAAGATAAAGCTATAGATAGCCTCTTTTCATCCTTTACTTTCTCGTAAAAAGGCAGAGTTTGTTTGTTTGAACACGCTAATCTCTGGAACTACTAATCCGATTTTCAAGATTCGTTTTTGCATTAGTCTGCATTAGTCTGTTTATTGATGAATTGAATGTCAAAAAATTGAGCAGACTTCCATATATTATTTTCAAACTATATATATGTATATTTTATACAATATATATATATATATATATATATATATATATATATATATATATATATATATATATATATATATATAGGGACGCACCCAAGCGTAAGTAAGTTGTTAGTGAAATGATAATGAAGGAATAAAGCAAATGGAATGAAATAAAACTTTATTCTATAAAACATATACATGTACTTTTGACTAGTTAATTAAATTTAAAGAGCGTCATTCGGCAGTCGTCACAGCAGACGAGAACCTAAATAGTAGCTCTTTCAAATATCAAGTTACATTTTATTTATTTTATTAACATAACAGTTATAAAGTTATAACTTATATCTTTATTTTACTGAAGTAAGGAATATTTGTTGATCATAATAAGAGTTAAAAGTGAGACTTTATACACAAAGTTTTGAATCTAGCGAAAATGTTTGGACATAATAAAAATAGCATGAGTTTTTGAAAAATATTTTTTATTTATTGTTATCAAGTAATTCTTCAAAATCTTGTTAATTTTTCAATCTCTATATAAATTCCAAGTAGTGAGCAACCCTAAGTCCCTTCATTATATGATGCTTGGGACGTCAGATCACAGATGAATTAAATGTGTAAATTCAAAAGCCATCCGGTTCATACTTATAAATGATTGAAAAAGTTACAAACATTGTTTATGATTACAATTAGCTATCAAACATAAAAATATAATAAAGAATGTAGAGTAAAAATCATGTATTCTTGGATTTTTGTACATAATATCTATTACATCTAAATCAAAACATCAATAGAGCCAACTGTGTGACTTTATCACCTCCCTTTTCTTCACCCCTTCTGGTGGTGGTGGTTCTGCGTGACCGATGCCCCTGATATTACAACCTTATTATAGGTCAAATTATTGCTCACTATTAGGCAGGCTGTATGCTAGCTTACCTTTATACAAAACTACACGTTTGTCTAATGGCTAGCGTGTACAGCTACAGATCGAGTGGTCTTGAATTCGAGCTCCGAGTCGAGCCAAAATATTTGTTTGAGCCTATCTATTACGATACCTCAAAACGACCAGGTATTGGAAAGTTGTCAGTATTCACATCCTCGTACCAAAGCAGAGCAAAATCGGTTAATGGGACATTATTACTAATATTATCATACATTTTTAGATTCTTTCTTTCTTCTTTGTTAGTTTACTGACCTATCTTTCAAAGTCCTGTAGGTCAGAATAGATATTTTCATAATATATTCTCTTCTAAAATAACATGGACTTTTATTTGCTACTAAAACTCGACTACTTAATACACTAGACGCCGTGTAACGTGAAGACTGAGAGATGGTATTATGTGTACATACTCGTATGTCAGTGTAAAATATTTTTACATTGACTGTATCTACTCATAATACGAGACGATAAAATGGTTGCAAATCCTTATTATAATCCGCTTACATTTATAATCATTATTTCTCTATGTTATTGTCTTGTAAATAAAAAAATGAAATACAAATGAATGTCCCCAGCGAGACTCGATCCCGCGACTGCTAGCTACTACAAACTAAGCCAAGCGTGTCGTCAAAGTTAAGTTTTAGTTCTGAAAATTTTCTTAAGATCCCTGCCAAAAAGGACGAAAGCTCTCGAGACTGACCTCTTGACTCTACGTAGAGTCTCTTCAGTATATTAATAATTTATACTGTCTTGTCGACGAGTTAATGATGCATTATTATATTTAAATATTAAAGTCTAAAATTAAAATACAAAAGAAATGTTATAAATTATATATTTCATTTTACATATAATACTGTATTTTTGTTTTATTGTGGTTTATGTAAATTCAGCCTTTTTAAACGTCCCAAAGACATAAGGCTGAAAGCGAGGGAGATCAGACCATAGTCTACCACGCTGGTCAAGTGCGGGTTGGTCGTTTAAAAATTTTTTTGTTTGTTAAAAAAAAACCTCTCAGACATGCAAGTTTCACAGTGTTTTCCTTCACCACAAAGGTAGTGGTGACCATGTTGAAAAACATTCGTATAAGATATATCAGAGATGCGAGACTCAAAGTTTGAACCCGCTTTAGTTAGTTTTACAATTGGCGTTAGTACTAAGCTATCACTACATAATACATAAAAAGATATATATAAAAAGAGATGCTATGGACCACTTAAGGACTATACAAAATATAAATGTATATATATGCCCTTTTTATAACACTAGAGACACACAATTTCTTGTTAGGAATACCGGAAATAGGCTTAAAAGGGAGATAAGCTCGTAGAAGCTGGTACCTGTATGTTTTATTTGCGCGAGAACGGAAATTAAGTGGGTCGTTCAGATACTTATTTGACGCTGGTTTTCAGCTAACTATTCTTAATATTATAATTTTCCCTATTTATAATACTTTTCTTAGATTTACGTAAATATTTGTCATTCTAAATCGATTCAGAATTTTCGAAAATATCGAGAAAAATTAAGCATATATATCAAAATATAGCTTAATTGAGTACCTCTTCCTTTTTAAAGTCGGCTAAAAATAATAAGGAGAGCATGACACTAAAACCACAAGAGATTGTCCACTCAGCCCTACAGACGGACAAAAGGACTGTTTTAATATTATAGTACCGTCCTTCGAATGCGATGAACAGAATAATTCAAAATGGCAAATAATTTTACAGATTTTCGTGACTGACATTTGTTATTTGCTATATGGGGGTTGTATCTTTTATATTAATCTTATTCACGTAAATTTCTAATGATTTAGCTAGCGATAATATTTACTTTATAAATACTATCTAATTTAGTAGAGTTTTTATTTAATCGTTAAAAGAAATACTTTTCTGGTTTTGACTGTTTATCCCGAATTTATTTTGATTTTTGGTTCCCAACGTTTCGAATGCTTTACAGCAATCAAGGACACGGGAGAGACTAAGGTATTAGATGTCTCAAAGGTATTATATCATAGTTGTTACAAACAACTTACCCACAAAATTACAAAATAATTTCAAAAAATACAAAAATGGCACCAAAGTCTCTTAATAAGTTCTGTAATGGGATATTAAAATAGTATTTATGTAATGGGACTTTTTATAAATATATAAGTATAGCAATTAAAAAAGACATTCAGCCCTTCTTAACGCTCAGCACGGGCCTCCCTTAACGCGAGGGGTATCAGGCCATAGTCTACCACGCTGACCAAGTGCGGGTTGGCGGACTTCACATATCTTTCGAAATCTTGCTTGGTACTCTCAAACATCCAGATCTCCTCACGATGTTTTTCTCTCACCGTAATACAAGTAGTAATCATGTTGAAAATAATCCGCACAAAAAAATATCAGGTGAAAGATCCGGGATTTGAACCCGCTTCACTTAACTTTCCAAGCAAACGCGCTACCACTGTCTTGTTCATTTTAAAAACTTTGGCTAAAAGCTTAATGCCAAAATGAATAACTTGTCTAATACACTGATCTTTTAAAGAAAAATATGAGAGAAGCTGCATGACAGTAGGTACATATACCAAAACATATCTGGTAAGCCAATAAATGGATATGATGAATGAATAATTGATTTTGATCATCATAAGTATAAAGAAATCAAATTTTTGCAGGCAAAGCTTTTAGAAATAACAAGTACTAAAATGATACTTACGTATACATTTTATTAACATTTACCTTTAATTTTAAAACTTTCGAAAGTAAGATATTATAAAACAAGCTTTTGCCGTGGCTCAGCTCGAGTATTCTAATTAAGTATAACTCTTTTAATCTGTGATGTTAGATAGCTTATAAACTTCCTCAAATATTTTGCTAAATATTAAAAATGAAGATTTTTCATATCTGACTGGTAGTTTCAGAGACTAGCACGTATAAACAAAAAAACAGTTTTCAGTTTTATTATATCTACACAGATAAATAAAATTGAGGTGTCTGTTAGTTAGGTCAAACTTACAGGCTTTTACTAAGTGCATAATATGACATTATATACGGTAATTATAAGAAAAACAAAATTTTAAAATTTTGTCTGACTGTCTGTCTTTTTCCGGATTACCTCCGATACTACTTGACTGATTTTAACGGGACTTTCACTGACAGATAGCTGATGTTATAAGGAGTATCTTAAGCTGTTATTATTTTAGAAAAATAATTTGGGTTTTGCTCAAAAAAATTAAAACCATATCTAGGGACGCACCCGAGCGAATCGAGAGTACTTCGCTAGTTAATAAATATGATATTAAATTTGAGTAAAATATTTTATTCAGTTCTAGACTTTTATAAAATTCACGATAAAATTTAGTATGAATCTTATTTTGAATCTCAATATTTTATTTCTCATATTCCGTCACCACCAGCCGACGAGGCGGAAATGTTTAGTACAACTAACTTTGACACTTAACTCGCTATTTGTCATGTTAAAACTTTTAAACAAATTTTTATATTTGCTTTATACTTCTTCTTAAAGCGTACTAAATTTTAGACATTTAATGTTTTTATGAAAATCCTACGATATTACTTAACATCAAATTTTGAAAGAAAAAATAATTCTATAGAAATACATATAAGAACTAGGAAACAGAAACTAATAGCATATAATATTAAAATAAGGCCTAAAAACTTGGAAACCTCGTGTTTCAATAGATATCTCGTTTATTATCGGACCAACCATTTTCAATAGATTCTTCGCATCTTGAGAACGGTTGGTCCGATACTGGTCTAATATCTCGTGTAAGGTGTTTACAATAGTCCGAATAATGTTTAAAACGGAACAAAAATTTACTCGAAAATTTCGAACATTCGGAGATAAATTGAAAGTGCTTTTTTTCTAAGATTATCCTATAAACTCAAAGATTGACGTATTTACTGTAATACATTTAATCATACAAATCAACATATAAAGATCATACTGATCATTAAGGATAATGTCTTCGGGTAAAATAATTTATTATAACAAAATATCTTTCCCGTTGTTCCAGGAGTTAGCAGCCGCGACTCCAACACAACGTAATTGGCGTGGGATTCTCATCGCCCTGCTAGTTATCGCAGCAGTTCTCGGCCTGATAGTCTTCAGCATAGCACTGCTCACTCCCGCCGGTGATGACGGAAGGGGTCGGGGAAGAAGACCAACTCTTAGTGACGTGCTCACAGATCACTATAAACCGTTTAATGGAACTTGGTTAACAGGTAAGATAGATAAATAAGAATTTAAATTAAAGCAGTTCTCGGTTTCCGCGGTTCATATCTTAGCTCAGGAACCAGTGTTGGAAAGCAACTACGAAAATCTATTTACCTAAAATACTTCTTATTAACCCTCATCTTCTAACGTTTTGTACTTTTTGAAAAATTTAGAGCAAAAACAAACTAAAAGAAGATGAGATAAAATCATTTTCTCATACAGCAATGAAAATTATGAAATCTATCTACATCTGGATAGAGATTTAACTTTGGTTATTTATTACTGATTGATGGTTTATTTTTATTTGATGTTATTAATGTGTTTGTTTACCATTTAATGTATAAGTTTTCAAGCTTTTATGCTTGTTTTCTCATTTCATTAAAAGAAAAATAATATATCTTTTATATATATATATATATATGTATATATATATTATGTACAAACTGTAAATCTTTATTTACAATAGAAGAAAACTACAAACATACTTAATTATATATATAAAATTATACTATTTAAATTTTTAATAATTTTTATATAAAATCAATTATTATAATTATTAAAATAAAATAAATATTGTTTGTTTATTATAGTTTAAGATCCAAAGTCGGGTTTGTACTTTTAAAGGACTATACGATTATTACGGTCAAGTAAATAGTAAAGCTCGTTTGTAACTCACACTTCTGTGGAGTAGAAATTAGACAATAGAATTTCCGATTCGTTTATCCTTTGAGTGATACGGGAAGATACTTAATCATTATCTTCCTATGTTTATTGTTTATATAGCTATTGGAAGGTGATGGAGAGTATTGATGTAACTTAGTTAATGAAAACGTGAATTTCTTATTATTACAATAAAATCACCAACGTTAAATATATATTACTAACATATATTATACATTACTTTTAATAATTTTGGCATTAAAATCACAAAAAAAATATTGGTAAGTGTATAAAATCAAGACAGATTTTGTTATGGCTTGTGTTATGGATACATACTTATATAACTTTCTTTTTTTTAAATACATACATATTATAAATATAAACATCCATGACTGGAGTACAAACATTCGTGCTCATCACACAAATGAATGCCCCCAGCGGGACTCGAACCCGCGACCGCTGGCGCAGCAAGTAGGGTCATTACAAACTGAGCCAAACGTGTCGTCATTCTGACGTGTCTGTTACGTTTTCATGTCTAAACCGTTAAGACAATTTTTATGAATTTTGGTATAGATAAGACCTTGGAAAAGAACATCGACTACTTTTTGTCGTAAACATGAAACTTGAAGGGGATGAAATAGGGGTCGAAAATTTGTAGTGGTAGCAAATCATTTCCAAAGTTAAGGAAATAAAAATTCGGTATATATTATAATTTTGGTAAAAAATGAAGAATGTTTCAGCATTTTTAACCAATGAAGGTAAAATAGGGGATGATTTCAAGTTTTTTTAAGTGCTTACCTACTTTTCTATACTAATGTATGTATATCTACATAATAGTACTAATATTATAAAGAGGTAAAGTTTGTGAGTTTGTGACATTATAGGGGGTAATCTCAAGCTAGGGACGAACCCGAGCGTAGCGAAGGTGAGTCGCTAGTATATAATAAATAAATAATACTAACTGTTAAAACGTACATAAGGGTGCCCGCGAGCAAAGTGAGGGTAAATCGCTAGTAGTATTTTAAATGCAAAAGTTTGTTACTGTTACATAGACCGTGACCTGAAATTACATCCTACTGTCAGTTATTAAATTAGGTAAAAGCGAGAGTTACTAGTATCAAATAAAAAATAATGTAATTTTATACTTATCATGAACAAACTTGGGTCTAACGACATAGATCCCTCGAGTAAATAAATTACACGCGGTTTCCGTATGATGAAAGTTTTTACGATTGCTCTTAAAATAAATTGAATTATGTCACAAAAAAAGATTACATTGCTTAAAACATTTTCGTTTTAAGGGCTATTGGGGTAATTTTTCATAACATTCTTCATCCTTGTTATGGATAACGACCTACCTATTACATTACTTAAATAAATTCCGCTTTATTTAGAACGCGGAACGGGAAGTCCAAGCTACATTTTTCGATTTCTTGTGAATTTTTAATTTGGCTAACCAAATCTTTAAGATAATTCTTATCTTTAAGATAAATAGTAGCAATAATATTAAGATGCAGAGTTTGTTTGTCAGTTCAGGAATCCCAGGAACTACTATCCGATTTTAAATTATTTTTGCATTAGATAGCTTATAACTCGTTTATTGAGGAAGGTTATATACTATATATGACCATGCTACTACCCAAGGGAGCGGATCAGTAATTATAAATGTATTTTATTACTAATAGTATAAAGCCAAAGAGTAGTAGTAGTAGTTTTGTAGTTTTAACGCGAGCGAAGCCGCGGGTTCTGCTAGTATCAAATAACTAACGGCTCGTCCTCACTTCACTCGCGTTCATCCCTAGGTACGTTTTAACGTTTAGTATGGAAAAGCTAGCCTAAATATTATACGATATATATCCTATAGCCTTCTTTATTAAACGGGCTATCTAATGCAAAAAGAATTTTTCAAATCGGATCAGTAGTTCCTGAAATTAGCGAGTTCATAAAATAAAATTGTATTAGTAAAATCCCTGTTGTTTAGATTAGATATCTGTGAAAATATATAATAAATAAGATATGAATAAAAATTATAAAGTTAATCATTTAAAGATCCAGTTAGTAGTTTAATGATAGAAGAAGCAGATGTAACCCCCTGGAAATAATTCTGCCGCTGCTCATGAACATATTATAATTCAAATTGATTTACGATTCAAATTAAAAAGCTTACATGATATTTTCTAAAGGGTAGCAAATAAATTTCTTCTTAAACTTTTATCCCTTCGCTCGCGCGGCGACAATAATTTTACGATTTTTTTGATTCCTTTCGGAAAGGTTTGCGGTGCTCATATAAATTAAGCTCCCGCAGCGGAGGGAGCTTTTCTTATCCTGAGAACTTAAATATTTTATGGTATATTTCACCAAATCGACTTCCGAATGAAAAGATATATGCATTTTTCTATTAATATCTATGTATGTAATAAAATTGTAACAGGGCACAGGTTGACCTCGTTCGCGCTCAATTTTTAAATAATATAAAACAAAGTTATTTCCTACGTATGTCTGTTTGTGCATGTAGTTCTTCTAAACTTTAAGCATTGATTATATTTTTACTATCCCAAAAAGGCTTGCTTGGAGACATATTATAGTTCCCACACTTACAGTAATAATGTCCTTCTTACCGATTTTGATGAAGGTGATAAACATATTTTAGTGCAGTGCTTCTGCGCGTATACACCACGACGACTATTTGACATGACCAGTGCAGAGAGCAGAGAGTTCTTTGGATATCGGGACCGTAGGAGTAAAACAACCAAAACTATCCAATACGAAACTGATACCGGAAATTTATTGACACATAAAGCCGATAACTTCACTTGGCTCAACCCGGTACTCGAACCCACGATCAATCATAATACTCAACAATGCTACAAAAATACAATAAATTTTATTTCAGTACTATTTAATATGATCTAATAAAAGTCAACAAAATTTCCATGAAGAGAAAAATAGCTTCTTTCAGAACTTGTTAAAACTTCAAGCCGAATCGTTGAAGGCGTAATTTTTCAACAAACTTTCAAAAGCTGTCAGCAAAAATTCTTTATAGAAATAGGATTAACATTGTTATAAAACTTTTGTTATTTGAATGAAACGTAATGTAAGGACAAACTAAATGAAACAAAGCTTTATATATGACTTTGCGAATTTAATATCTAACAAGCGACCTACCTTCGCTTCGTACAGGTTTTCTTTTTCTTTCAAATCAAATCAAAATATTTTATTCAGCATTAAATTATTACAATTTTTTACTGAACGTCATGAGTCTACTATCAGTAGCTCTAGCAGCAGTAGCAGTATTACTAGCAGTAAGAAGGAGCCTCAGACCTGAGAAGAACTGGCGAAAGAAACTCAGCGGGACCAATATCTTTTCTTAAAGTATAATCTTTTTCTTTTTGAGTTCTCTTACAAAATAATCTGTTTATAAACAATAAGCCAATCCTGTATAAGAATGTTACACCTTGCTACTCCTGTTTATAGTTATAGATGTTTTCCTCGCAATGTGACTAGAACCGGTTTCGATACAGGTGAAGTAAGTTTACAAATAAACACGTGTTTATCTACAAACATACCCGCTTGATACCAAATTACATACAATGTCTGTTGTATTCAGGCTAGGACCAAGTTCTCGACAATAATGTAAAAATTTTGATAATGAGGAAATGTTTGATGTGAAACATCTATTACGGCAGGTCAAACCGGCTGTTGGCATGGCGACGCGTCGCCACGTCGCAGTGCGCTCGTAACTCAGATTCTCTGCCTACTCGGCTTGGCGGTCCCTACCTCTCTCTCTCACACCGCGTTGAGCTCGTTTTTTATTTTTTATTTTGGTATATAATTAATATGTATTTAAAAAAAGAAAAATATATATTGAATATTTTATTTTAAATAACTATATTTACTTCTTTTAAAAAACCATCCTTTCATGCATATTTTCTATAAAAGTTTTCTAGTTTTGATATTTCACATCTGCTACGCGTCCGGCGACGGCTTTAATATTTTATTTTTATTTTATTTTAAGCATTTTAAAGCAAAACCACATGTCGTAACTAGTCTCTCGCACTACTTTGCCATTCACATTGTAACGCAAATACCGACGCTGAATAACGCATGGCATACTCGTCTTCAAAGACTTGCACACACTTTGTGCCCCAAGCATTCTTCTTGGAATATTTTGTTGGGAAATAACTTTGTGAAGGCAATCTTATAAAAGCTAAATAAGTAAGGAAGGTCTATTGTCTTACAGAATTCTAATAGGTACATGGAAATATGATTTCGAGCAAACTGCTAAATTGGATAAGTATGAATTACTTATAAAATCGTTATAAATAGCTTGCCCTACTACTTCTGTTAA